ATAGGAATCTGGGAGTTCCTGTAGGGTCATATTATATTCTGGTCATTTAATATAAACTTGCCAGGCTTGATAACTTCAAAGTTTGGAGAAGTTATACCTCATGGTGGTTTCTCTCTTTATAGGTGAAATTTTCTCAAAAAGGTAAGGCATTGAAGAGCTGCACTCTTACTTGTTCTTTCCATAACTTGAGAGTTTCTTTGCACTTTTGTCTCCTCACCATGCTGATGCTAAGATTTGTTCAGAATGTTCATGTCCTGCAAATGTGTGTATACCTTCTCTCTGAGCACTGGAGGAGGCTCAAATCAGCCTTCTGGATATGTTGCTCCTTTTACCATAGTCTCTGAGGCTGAGCACTGTACGCTCCTCTATCTCTCCCAGCACACCATCTACACATTGTAACAAGCAGAGCTGACACCTTTTAGCAACAGAAAAAGTCATGTGGCTTCATCTGATCCATCTAGAGCTCATTCCTGGATCAAACACCAGATAGACAAATCTGTAAGCACTCAGCAAAAATATAGGTCAAAGCAGTGTCCCCCACAAACACAGTGATTTCCTGAGGTGAACCTGGACTTCTTCTCTTCATGCAACCAGTCTCAAGCAAACTATTACATGTGTACACAGTAGTAGTAATAGATGATTCAAAACTTTGGTATGGGCCCTTGCCGAGATTATTCCTGGCCACATGAGGTGGTATGTGCGCTGTTTGCCCCTGTATCACAGAGCTGCTGTGGGTCCCTTTCATGCCATGCAGGTGACCCTTCAGTCAGGGTTCATCCCTAACTACATCTGGAGGAATGATATGAGTCTCTGTCTTCCTCTTGCAGTTATATTCAGGATTTCTGATATTCAGAAATAGCAGTGTCAAGATCATGATAAACAAAACTAGGGAGTGGGGGTAGTTTATAAATGGAGATAGACCTGGGTTTCATCATTTTGTTATTTATTTCCCTAACAGATCACTGGGATTAACCATGTGAATTTGTATTCCGCTAAAGGGTTTATTTCAAAGAAAATATTCTCTAGCCTAGGTTGTTCTTCACAGACTCTCAGTTTTCAACCTTCTTACTTATTCTCTTTCAAGGATGCTGCTATTTCACATCAATAACTGACACCTTTATTTCAGAGCACAAAATAGAATTACACTCCAGCCCTGACAATATAATAAATCAGGAGGGATAAAATACATATTAGTGAAGTTCACATAGTTGGTTTGTCCCAGCTGACCTATAGATATAAAGGTATGATTAAAGTGTTTTTTTTTTTTTTTACTGTTTCTTCTCAGTCGTGACACAAGATTTAGCTGTGACTCAAAGATTTGACCTTTGCTTCTCCTCTCTGCCTACCTTGATTCTTTGAATTATTGTTATTCCCTTGAAGACTTTCTGCCCGTACAAAATTAGCAGTCTGTTTTGACAAAATATTATCTATTTGGCAGAAGAACGAAACCATCTAGAATTCAATCAGGTTGGACAATGTCATGGTGCACTTCCTGAGTGAATCATTTCTACACAGATTTTTTAATCAAAGAAATCTTAGCCATAAAACCGAGAGTAATGCTGGATAGTCACATAGCTGTCTACAATTAAAGTTTAGGCATTGGTTGGTTTCTGTGAATTATGGTTGAAAGAATCCCTGCCAGGGCACTTAATCTTTCAGATGGGTAACAGAAATAAAATCTCAAAGCCACAGGTTTATTTAGAGTATGAAAAAATTTATTAACCTTTCTGGAAGTGTTTTTACTGAAGAAGTTCCGCGTGGTTCACCATATTGGTAAAAAACAAGCATAAATAAAGAAAGGTAGAAAAACGTGCACTGAATACTCCTGAGAAAAACAATCTGTGGAATTTGTGATTTCTCTCCTGGGGATGAGATAAAAAGATGAAGGAAATGCACAGTTTTACTGAATTCGGTGTGGCTACCTAGATTCTTTGTAGCTGAGTGTAGGAACCAAACCAATTGTATTTGAGAAGATGCAGTTATTGAAAAGATGCTTGTTTTTCATGATGTAGTAATAGGATGTTTGTTGCCTTTAATGTTGTTTCCGTTACTTTCAATGCTGCGTATAAATTTTTTTAATGTAGTTGTAAAGTTACTTATGTGTCTCCTACTTTCATCATTACTAAACCTATGTGTTCTCCTTGAAACTAAATCTGGATAAGTTCCACACCATTTCCCCCAGCCCTTCCATTTATATTATACACTAGAAGAATTTAAGCTAATGTAATAGTGTCAAATTGATATGCAGTTTTCCTCTGATGAGGAATGGGCTAATGTAATCAGCAATTATTTTTTGTGTGACCTTTACAAATCAAATTGTTATTTCCTTGCTTTTCATTTAAATTTTGCTCCCACTGGTGAAAGGCTGCTGCAGTTAGTATAAAACATAATTGATTGATAGAATCACATTAAAATAGGGTGCAATATTCTCAAAAAACATACATACTGTATATTATAATGAAATAATTCAAAGAAATGTATAAGCTGGCCAAGACTAAATTTGTGCTGTTAATTCACAGAGGAGTTTCCACGATTGCCATAGAGATGTTCTGGAGCAGCTGCCAAGTACTAAGAGTGGAGGCAGCAATAAACCTTGTCTAGGATAAATCCCATGTTAATAATGGAATTACAGTAGAGAGGTGTAAGAGCATTAAGGATCCAGTCTGGTGACTGCAGAGGGTCCCTCTACCAAATACACCTGATTTACACCTGCTGGTTGAATAACAACATAGTTTAATGCCTTCCCAATATTCACAGTTGTGAACAGTGTTTCACTTTGACATAACTGTTCTTCTAAGAGCATTGGTTCAGAAAAGGCATCCAGTGAGTAAGTGTGTGAAGTTGATGAGTGAATGATGATGTCTATCCGTGGGACTTTTTTCCATTATGTTAATGGATTCCTTATTCCCACAAACCTCTTCTGAACAACTTAGCCATTTTCTTATAAATGAAATAGAAGAATCTCACCCACTCCACCAATTTTAATTTTTTAAAGTATAGATAACCAAAAAAAAAAAGTACCCAACAGCCACTAAATCTTATGATTCATTTGTTTTAAGTTAAGGAAACCTTTTGGAAATAGGACATTCTCTCACTCAGTGACTCAACTGATAATGCCTCAATAAAAATTGTAGAAACATCTTATTGAAAAGCTAAATGTGTTAAAAGTAACTGACTGTCAGAGAAAATAAATTATTAACTCACTGGTTTAGGTGTACATACATATGCACAAATTTTAATTGAAGATACAAATCCAGAACAGAAACATGGAGAATCGTACCATTTATTTTTGTTCCTGTGTTGGTCATATGACATTTCTTATGCTTGTACTTCTCAAATTTCCACTTAGTCACAGGAAGTTTTTTACAAGAGAAGGAGCCCAGGATGAAAGGAAGTAATTTTAAAGATCACAACAGGAAAAAAAAAATAACCCCCCCCCCAAAACCTAAACTTTCTGTATTCTCACATCATCACAGTAATTGTGTTCTGAAGTGTTTGATTCTAAATTTTCCGTTTCTTGGAGAAGTAGAAAAGGGGAAGTTTCAGTAAAATATTACTTTACAGAAAAAGTTTCTGAAAGTTGGGAACAGAGGAAAAGGTACATAGGAACAAAATGTATATATTTTATATATACATTCACACACATACACACACACACACACACACACGTCCATGCACTTTTTAATACTGGCATACATATAGAAGTTCACATAGCATATTTAGCCAGGGAAGTTGTTGAAACCAGCTTCTGTGGTTGTCCAAAGAAGTTGTGGATGCCCCAGCATTGGGAGGGTTCGAGGTCATGTTGAATGGGCTTTGAGTAACCTGACCTAGTGAAAGATGTCTTTACTTATGGCAGGGGGATTGGACTATATGACCTTCAAATATCCCTTCCTTTATGATTCTGTATTGGAAAGTGAGTAGGAAAAATCCATACTCTCAGAAGAAAACAGGTCTGCTTCTGGCATAGTGAATTATGTTCATGATAAACCAAATGGGGGATGCATGAAACATGGAAAATAGCAGTTCATATCACTGCAGAATAAGAATTTGCATAAAACCACCATGGTTTTTGGCACAGAAGCTGTTTCTTTTGCAGTTTTGGGGGGCTGCTGTACTGCAAGCCTGTTATGGCTTGTAATTTTCTGTCAAACTAGAACACTGATCTCCTGAACTTCTGTAATAATTTCATTTGATAATTAGCAGTAGGATCCTTCTAGATCAAGAACACATCTTTCTGAACATTATGTGGGCTTACTGCATCGTGTGCTTACATTTGCACTGCAGATACAGGGTTCATTGGTTGATTGGGGGGGTTTTGAAGTCAAAGACAATAAAACATTTGGACATGAATTAAGAATGACTGTTTCTTACTCATCTGGCTCTTCTTACCTCTCAGATTCTTTATTAATATGAACCAATATAATGAAAGATAAAGGTATTGTTGGTCTAAAACTCTACTGCCACCAAAAACCTGAACACCGAAGGAAGTCTTTAGGTTTGCCATTATCCTAAGTAGAAGAAAAGGTTTTCTGAGGGATCATACCTATATCAAATGAAAAAAACTATAATTAAAAATAAAAATTTAAATTGTTTGCTAATTATTCCTCACCTGCTATTTCTCTGACCGTACCAGCATTATTTTATCTCACTGTTTTAGTTAAAGAAATCAAAGATCTCTGCAGACTGAAAATAGGTATGGTTTGCAAATATGACAAGTTTGCCCTTTGCATTGCCAAATTCTGTTTTGTTCTTAAATTATAAAACCTCACTACAGATGGCTTCTTGCTAAATTTTCAAGCTCATCCATGTTTCAGAACCAGGCTACCTTTCGGAAGTCACTTTTGTCAAAGCCTTGGTGTTCCTTCAAGACATTGTGAATGAGTCCTAAGAGAACGTACAAACTCTGAATACCCTGGTCTGTTCTGTACCATGTATTTGACTCTCCGGTTTTTATTTAAATGAAGCAAAGAAGTATGTATTTTTTTTTTTCTGCTTAGGAATAAGTACAGCAGGACTATTACTAGACAGCAGAAGTAAGTGTGCCTTAGATGGTGATTAACAGTTTTGTTCTTCTTCTTCTTTAAATGACTAACCTGGAGTGAGAGGTTGGATGTCTTTTGAAAACTTAAACCTGTTTCACCTGAACATGTTTAACTAGTTAATAAGAAACATCAAAAAAGACAAAACCCTGAGGTCAACTATCATTTTTTTGTAAAGCCGATGATGTTTAAATTTGTTTTTTTGGGTCTGTCTATAACATAAGTTTAATAACCTAGCTCAAATGCAGATTTCTAATTTTCAATTAACATAGGAATAATTTTGTTTGCTAAAATAAAATAAATGAATGAATGAAAAGTCTGAACCATGAAATGTTCTAGGTAGCACTTTTTAAAATTCCAAATTTCAAAAAATCATGTGGCAACTGTATAGCTCAAGATTTAAGTATTAACTTTTAACCTTTGACCTTACAGATTTTAACCAATGAAATGTCTCTTTAAACTTTAAAGGAAACAATGATAACGAGCGCCTGGCGATTGCTAGACAGCGAATTCCATATCGACTTGGTCGAGTAGTTGATGAATGGCTACTCGACAAAGGTAAAAAACATTGATTAAAACTTCAAATAAAAAAATAATTTGAACATAACCAAGTAGTACTTCATTGTAACACTAATAAACATAAAAAATAAATTTCAGTAAAACTAAATTAAAACAAATTTTAAAAAGTAAAATATAGAGTAATATTTGCATACCTTGTATAATAATTTCTATACATTTCTAGAAGTACCAGCTGTTTAATAATCTTACCCTGTTAACTTAAGGTTAAAGGGACTGTTAAATATAATCCACTAACTCAATCTATGAAGGTACTCAGAGCAAACATTAACCAAAAATTATAAATCATTCATAGATTATATTACATGTTCCAGCATCTAAATTATTAACTAAAAATATGTGTAGTTATGATATCTTCATTATGGTCCTGAAAAAAAAATTTGTTTAAACTGTAGGTATCTTAAATAGTGGGCAATATGAATTGCCAATCAAAATGAAGTCCCTTTAACGTTTGCAACTTTCTAAGGGGATTTTGGAACAAACACTAATTAAAACAGAACTTAAAGTTGTGTGCATGCTTTTTGTGAGCAGAAACCAATCTGCTAAAGTGACTATTCTATTTACTAAGAGTGGTACTGTTGCTGAGGATTTCTCTGTTTAATGGAAATGTGCCATAATTTCTCCATCGGTATGTGTATCATTTCTGAAGCCGCTTTTACATCAAAAATCTTTTATTTTAATTGATAGCCTTGCTGAAAGCCAATCAGACATCTATTTTTGAATCTGCCTCTGAGATTCTCAGTGCGAACCTTGTGTTTCTTTTCAGTGTGTATGTTGAAGAAAAATAAACATTTAAATATGAAAAGGCAACAATTAAAAATGTAAATATTCACTTATATAGAGATGTGACAGATTACTGCATAAATTCCTTAAAATTTACTCGACCTAATGACTTGTTGGCATATACATAAACTTTGTCTGTGTGTATATACATATTTGTATATGTCTATACATACATAAACTCACATGTACATAAAGCTATAGGCTCTGTTCTGCATTGCATGGGAAAAAAAAAACAACAAACAAAAACTTTTAAATGTTGGCAGACTTGAAGAGAAAGTTATCTTAAGGAATTAGAAACCTGGCATTCTTGAGACACATCAAAAGGTTAACACTGCTTTCAGGTAAAAGGGAGAGGGTATCACAAGTAGTGCTAAACACGTTTGCAAGTGTATTTGATTGGCCTTTTAGCAAAAAACATGTAAATCCCAAAATGCTGTAAATTAAGAAACACACAAATGCTCTCAAAATTTATGCATTTCATGGACACCTCATTAAAAAGCAATGAATTATGAGTCAAATCCTTTTCTTATAGTTTATTGCTCTCATTTTTCACCCCATGACAATCTGTTATCACTCGTGTAGAGTATAGTGTTCACAGTCAACATATTTGCATGTATATAATATTATCTTCACAGGGCGTCAGCTCACAATCTTCAATAGCCAAGCAACCATAAAAATTGGAGGCAAGGAACGTGGCCACCCTTTCCAAGGCCAGCTCTCTGGTCTTTACTACAATGGCTTGAAAGTTCTGAATATGGCAGCAGAAAATGATGCCAACATCGTGATAGAAGGAAATGTGAGACTTGTTGGTGAAGTGCCTTCCTCTATGACAACCGAGTCCACAGCCACAGCGATGCAGTCTGAGATGTCCACGTCAGTCATGGAAACAACCACCACTTTGGCCACAAGCACTGCTAGAAGAGGAAAGGCCCCGACAAAAGAACCAATTGGTCAGGTTAGTCCACTTCCTCACCTTTTGCAAATATGTTCCCATCTTTGGGAGTGTGGCTTCCTATACCACTTTGACGCTGCAGATGAAATTGTTCCTGTTGAAGAAATGCGTGAATTACAATTAAAAGTTCGGTACCATACATGGCTCATGGATGTGATGCTGATCAGCATTTAGAGAGAAAGTAAGGATTTTGCTGTTCTTCTAAATTAGGCAAACTTACCAGTTCAGATTGTTCTTGTGCTGAGTTTTATTGCCCTGTCATCCATCTTCATAGTGCTGCATATTTTTAAATATTCTTTCTTCCTTTGGTGGCTTACATCGATTACTTTCAGTGTAGGAATGCAGGATGTCTGGAATTAGAGATAATGAAATGAAGTGATGACTTTATCCATGAGATAGAGAAAAGAGACAGTTTTAAGAGAGAACAGGAAGGAGGTGTGAAGACAAAAAGTTGTAAGAGGCTGGAAAAGAGGGAACTTGCACTTTCTCTAAGTCCCACGATTGATCATATTCCCTGGCAGAATTCCTCATAAGAAGCAGTGGCAGCGGAGGGAATTAAGAGCACTCTGCGCCATGGGAGTCTCAGGCTCCAAGTCGAGGCTGTTGTTTACTGTTTTTTGAGGTCATTTGCATCTCATGAATTTAGTGATATATTTAGTTGCTTTCAGGTTTTGTCAGGATCTCTGTATAATACGTGGAGGAATTTAATTATTGGGAAAAGGAGGGGGAAAAACAGGTGAGTGAATTAAGTACTTTCATCTTGTGGATACCCTGAGTAAAAGCATTCAGACATTGTGCTTTAAAAACCTAAAGCTTATCAAGGCATTTCTGTGGTGGAGAATATTCTTTTACATTTATTCTGTCTTCAAAAAACAAAAAAAAACCAAAAAACCTAAAAAAATCCACAAAAAAACCTAAACCAAACAAAAAACAAAAGGTACAATTCTAAAAGCTTTTCGTATGTTCATTTGGTTCACATGCTTGCTTGTGTGCCCACTGTGCCATCGAGCCATGACAGCTACATTCCTGAGATCCAGAACTAGGACAAGGAACACATCATGAGCAGGAGCATGATGTGATGAATAAGGTCAATTTTCTCAAGAATGAAAGAGAACAGGCTGATTAAACTTGTAGGCTGAGGTCAAGTTGCTTGTTTTCTGTGTAAAAACTCAAACCACAGACTGAATTCGATCAGGGCATCAAACCTGGCACTTCAGCTTTTCTGTCTGTGGTGTCTTTGTATGCTTTATACTATAGACTGAAAACTACAGTTAAATGAAGGTAATTTTTTTTTTTTTATTTAACAAACTGAAGCAGTACATTTAAGTTAAAAGTGAGCTTTTAAAAATCCCTTTGACTTGCAAGTTGCAGGTTTTTTGATGATTATTGTAGTAAGCTGCAGTGTTTTTATTAAATAGGCAATAAATTTTCTTTGTTAATAATTCTCTTTTAAATAGTATATTGTACTCTATTATCCAACTAGTCTGATCTCAGTATTTAGCAACAGCAATATCTAAGACTTCATCAAATTTACCAAGAGGAAGATCTGCATCTAAAAGTGCAAGACATCCTCACAGCGTGGAAGAATTTGGGCTAAATTAATGTTACTAAATTAAAATTAAACTAAGTAAACCGTTCTATCAGTTCTCAGCATACTTTTGGTCTCTGCCATTCTCTCAGGTAAATCCCAAGCACAATTTGGCAGGTAAAATGTCACAGGAACCATTCCCAGCTGGCACCTTACATGATTTGTAGGCAGTGGGAGTTTACTGGTATAGTTGCTTTGCCAGTTGGCCTCAATTTCTGGGAGTATTCCCCAGTATGATTTACACACTATTTGCATGTTTGCCACTAAGATTTTTCTTTTTGAGGTGTTCCAGTGGCTTATTTTTGGAAGAAAATTTTGTTAAACTAACAACTATGGTGAGGTGTAAATTTTTCTGAAGAGGGGAAACAGACAGTTAAGTAAAATGATCCTCCAAAGATGTATTGTTTCTAGAGTGCGGTACCTAAAATAAGATATGGCCCTTATCGACTCCCATCAGAGCTCAGTTTTTCAGAGCACCTTGCTGCCACTGGAGCTGAGTGACCTCAATGCAGCTGTGCCGTTTGCTCATCTCTTTCTGGCTACAACAAGATACCATGAGCATTTACTCTTTGATATTACACCATCATGAGCCTCCAGCAGGATCCAGGAGCATCCAGAGGTGCACAGCAACTCAGCAAAACCTGTTCTGAAGGTGAAGGCTTTGATCAGCCTCCCTCACCTGTTAGCCTGGCTTGGCACAAGTCCTTCGTGCAGCCCATGGGAAACTCTGTATCTGTGAGCCTGAAATCAACATTTCTGAGGAAAGCATTTAATAGCAACATAACTACACCACATGACATCTTGAGTATATAACTGAGCCCTTCTTGACTTCAGCTATGCCCCAGTGTCCTGCCTGGTAGAATCTCTGTTGTCATAATGACTATACAATTAATTAGGGACTGCACTGGAACAGAGTTTGGAATCAGGCCTACGATTTGATTTAAGGAGATTGATAACATCCCAAAGTCAGAGCTGAATTTTGTCTGCAAAACTATTCATGCTGCAAAGACCTAGGAAGCTACTAAATTAAATTGAGGACATCATTTTTTCTCTTCATTAATGCCTGTTTTCTTATTCTACCTGCATGTAATAATTTCTGAGCTAGTGCCCCATAGGACTCCCACGGGTCTGTCCTGCAGGGTGCTGAGTAATCACTTTCCATCTTGGTGTCACTGGAGATGAAGGCACTTACCCTCTCATGAAAAATCCAATTTCTTCATTTCCTTTCATTTTTGTCCTTTACTTTTTCCCCCCTGATTTTTACTTATATATAACCTCTACAAGAGTGTCAACTACGTTGACATACTGTAACCTCTGCAGGAGTGTCAATTATATTGACATACTGTACTGCACAAGAAGAAAAGTTACATTTCTAGCATTAATTAAGTTACTGAAGAAAATATGCAGCTGAAGAGCAATTGCTAATGAAAAAACCTTACATTACTGAAAACCAGTGCAGGTTTGAAATAGAATATAAGGAAATGATCTAATCAGTCAGAGATTGTTTGCTCCATTTGCCAAGGTATTGAATTCAATTAATATTACAATAGTTAAAGGAGATCATTGAAGTCTTTATTTATAGGAAATGTTCTTTTAAAAAAACCTACAATATGTAATTGACAGAATGCATGCTTCTTCACAGATATCTAACAATTGCAATATATGATACAAGATACACATGGGACTTCCAGAAAGTATGTCAAATACTGTTGTGCATTATTTTAGACGAATGAGGTCTTAATACTTCTGAGAAAAAAAAAAGCTTTTTGTTAGCAACTCTGCTCTAAATGAAGGCTTTCCCTGCTTGGACCCTGTGTCAGATTTTAACAATGAATATTTTGGTGATGACAGACATCTTAATTATAGCACTTAGAAATGCAAATGTTTCAAAGGGGAAAAAGGTACTCAAAGCTTATTGAATGTCAATGGTAGGTGAATGCCTCGTTTTCCTTAGTGCCTTAAAATCCTCCCCTTTACCCCACCTTTGATTGTAATGGCATCTCAAGCTGTCAGCCTTCATGCAAAGCACTGTGTAAACACATAGGAAGTGAAAGTCCCTTCCTCCAATATCTTACAGGGTAAACAAAAGGTATCGGGAAGGGAGGGGAAAAAAAAGAGGAAATCAGGAGGTGAGAGGAAGAGGGAAATAAAGCAAGCACTGTGTTGCTGCAGTGTTAACAAGCAACACGTGGATTTGCAGCCACTGTGGGAGGGACAGTTTACTGCCTGTGTTTTTTCTATCCAGGCTCTCCAGATAGCAGCCCCCCAACTACAGCTGTCCTGTAGGATCACCACATGGCTTACAGAAGACTTTGGAGCAGGCAATTTAAAGATTGGGCTGCCTGGTCAGGCAGTTGATGCAAAATTGGCACCAGTTGGGTAGTCAGTGAGAAGTTTTTTCTGCTTCACTTCTCACTTTGCCATTGACACATGAGGGTAGCTGTGGCCGCTGGCATGGGAATGGAGGATTGCGGGAGAGGTCCTTTGTTTCCCCCACATTGCATGGGAGGAGACTCAAAATTTTACATCCCTTTATGAGCATAAAAAGAAATCCCCAAACTTAAGTGTTGCAAGAACAGAACTTCTGTTGAGTGTAAATATGCAGCTAGGTGCTGCTAACTTCCAGTGAGCCATAAGTATGAACTGGATCTCAGAAGTCATGAATTTGGTCTAAGAATATCACCCTTTTTACGAAGTTATTCAGCAAAATTATACAGTTAAGTTCTTCCTTCTTTTTCTCTTTTATTTTTAACCCTTTTTGAAAGTCTCATTTGCAAGGTTTTCTATTCTGCCATGAAGGTGACAAACATCTTTTAAAACTGAAAATAAAAATTCACAATTGTAGAACTCCAGGAGCTGGAATGTTAAGCAAAACATTGAGTACTGCAAGGCTTGCAATAAAAATTGCAAGAGTTGGCAGAAGTCTGAAAGGCTTCAAAAGGACTTACAGAATGGGTTTTGCTGGAATTAGGAAAGCCCAATCAGGCCTTTAGTATCTTTTTGGCACAGCTTTGTGAATCTGTATTAACTGGAAATCATAAATGAAGTGATAGTAAATCAAGAATAATATGCTCATTTCTCATCCCTTTCTAAGGATTTGATTATGACAGCCCATCCACAGAGCAGCCTCTGCTCTCATGCATTGGAAACTGTTTCTGAAAATTGTGTGCTAAATAGCTTTTTTATTTTCCATAAGGGATTCTGGCAATCCTCTTTGTTCTCATCAGAGTGAGTTCTTATCAATAACACTAAGCCACTTAACCAGCAATTGCAATATACTGTGAGATGATTACATGTTTTGGAACAATAGGTACTGATTTTTGGTCAAGCAGAATTAAATCAGTGAACTGAAATTTGGTCAGTTGCCTTGGAGGGCATACATCAGGTGAAGGGTATGTTTCTTTACATATATTGA